CGCCGGCCCCGTTCCAACCGAACCGGTTGGAACGGGGCGAGAAACCCACCCCTGGGGTGAGGGGATAGTCTCCTATCAATTTTTTGAAGATTTATTTTAGGTAGAGAACATCCTTCTTCTAAGAAAATTATATGTCCATATTATTATTATTATTATTATTTAAAAAATCATTACATAATATCTATTGCATTACACTACAATGAAAGGCCCTCTGCATGGTTAGATTTTAGGAAATAAGCAACAAATAAGAAACCTAATTTGGAGCAAACCAATTTAAAGCAGATGGAAAAATTTACTTACAGAAACTTTCTTTCACAGCTATGTCAATTCCTCTTTGGCACAGTTTGTTAAAAAAAAAAAGTCCTCTGTTTTTAGGAACATAACCACAATTTACAAGAATCTGCATTGTGAAATATGCTCTGAAATGGAAATCAATTAATAATGCTGTACAGTTTGAGCATTGTTATTTTTGTACATTCCACCTCCTAACCAACAGCTTCTACTTCTGTGGAAGAGATACTTCTTTTAAGCTGTGGTCAATTTGCCTTGCACATTGTTTTCTTAACTCTTCAGCATACATCTTCATTAAAAAGGGTGCCCTGATGTTTCCCAATGTTCAAAAGAATTTGTGGGCTTCATAAACCAAAATAGATTTTGTGAGAAGCTGATTTAAGAGCTGTTTTTGGTCTTAAGGCTGTATTTGCTGGTTAATGCCCAATAGTTTAATAATAAACCCATGATCATCTGTCTTGGATAAACAATTTAATCTATTGATACCACAAAGCCTGATAAGAGAAAGGGATGGAATGAATCTCTCCAGGTTTTGTCTAGAGCAGTGGTGTGTAACCTTTTTGTTGTTGCATGCCAAAAGCGCTAACGCCCAACAGCAGGTGCCCGCCTGCCCACACCCATAATGCAATGTGCACGGCCCCGTGCGCCCCCTGTGTGTGCTCTGCCCCCTGTGCATGCATTTGCGATCCTCTGCACATATGTGTGTGACTCCCTGCATGAACACCGCCCGCCCATTATTGGCTTCCAGATTGGTGCAGGAGGCTTTCCAGGCCCAAAACGGACTGCAGGGGTGCTGTGTGAGCCCCAAAATGCAATGAGAGTGTCATCCCATGCATACACCTAGCAGTGGTGGGTTCCGGATCCTGTTCCAACTGGTATGGTTGGAACTGCCCGGCGTCACCCACAGGGACGCATGCGTTGTCCCTGCCTACGATGCCTCCAGAAGCCTCTGCGATGCTCCAGCTGCTCAGCGGAGCATCGCGCAGGGATTGTATGCACCATGCTCATACACAGAGGCGCCAAAGACTTAAAGGACAGGTAAGGAGCTCGGGCGGGCGGGGGGGCCCTCCAGAGCACCATACCGGAACAGTACCCGGTGCTCTGGGCAGGCTCCAGTACACCCGTACCGGGGCATACCGCCTGCAACCCACCACTGATGCCCCGCCCCCTGCACATGAAAAAATAACTTTTCTGTGGACCACCAAAATTTCCTCGCAGACCACCAGTTGGTGCCCACTGATCTAGAGTACATAATAACCAGAAATTTTTGGTTGAACCTGGATGGAAATTCTCCCTGGTTTAAGAGTTGGTTTGGCCTAAAGAGTTTTGATCACTAGAGGATTTACTAGATAGGATGAGTGCATCCTTAGAGGATCTGCTGGATCTCAGAAGTCGGAGATTTAATCCTGAAATGAGTAGGAAAATCCCACTGCGCATTGAAAAGAATATATTATAGATTTAGATTTAGATTTACTTTATTTGTATGCCGCCCTTTTCTCTGGGGGGACTCAGGGCGGCTCACAATTCAAGGGAAGGGAGGAATAGACAAGTTACAAACATGAAGACAATACACCGTTAAAAGCACAACAGTCATACCATTCGAGTGGGGTTGAAGTCTTTAGCCCCAGGCCTGTCGGAACAGCCAGGTTTTAAGGGCTATGCAGAAGGTCTGGAGGGTGNCTCTGCACGCCCTTTCTTTTTGCAAATAACAGTCCATTTTTGTGAAAAACTGGCTATTTTGTGCTTATTTTTGTCCCCCCAGCACCCAGGAGCATTCTACAAGCTTCCCAAAGCTCTTCATGCCCCCACTTTTTGTGTGTGCAAAAAACGAGGCATGCAGAGGGTTTGGGAGGCCTGCAGAGTGCAAAAACTTTTTTTAAAATTTACCTCTTCAAAATCATGGTGTGTCTTATACTCTGGTGCGTCTTATAGTCTGAAAAATATGGTAAAAAATTCTACTTTCTTCTTATTACTAGTCACCTACTTGCCATTTTCTTCCTTTAGTGGACTGATTGTTTCCTTGACTATTTTCTTGATATTTACATATTGAAATAAATTATTTATTATTTTTGACATTTGTTACAAGTCTTAGTTCATTGTAAGCCTTAGCTTTTCTGACTTTGTCTTTGTAGATTCGGATTATTTGTTGGTATTCTGCTTTAGTTTTTATACTTGTCCTTTTCATCTCTTAGTTTGTCAGAGAGTTTATGCAAACATGTTGGTTTTGTCTGGGATCTCTTATTTTTCTTTTCAGTGGTATTATGCTAGACTGGGCTTTTATAATTTCATTTTTCAGAGTTTCCCAAGCTTCTTGTTTTCTCCTTTAAGATTACCATATATGGAATCCTTCCCATGACCTAAGTGTTGAAATGATCTCTCTTAAAGTCTAAGACACTCATTTAACTTTGTTCTATTACCCCCATCTGAGTTATATTGAATTCTATAAACTCTTAAGATTAAGATATTACTCTAGGAATTCTTAAGATTCTCACTCTTGTCTTGCTTTTTGGCAGGAGTGGGGGTGGAGGAGAGGAAGTATACAAGGATCCTTTTATATTTGTTATCACTATCAAAACAAGGTCCCACCTATCAAAGTTATGTAGCCCATATGGCTCACACCTGATTCTTAAAATAAGGTGAAGATGGATAGGAAGTTCAGACTTAGAAANGTCAAACACGATTTCATTGAGGGCTGCATCAGGGTTGTGTTTGACCTCGGGAGAGGGGGGGGCAGCTCAACATCACTCATGTCGGGGGTTCCTGTACTGTCCCGAGCGCTCTGCCAGAGAAAACAGGTTCCCGAGCTCTGTTTTCGGCTGTGACGGCTTTTGATGCCCACGACCTTCCCAAGGCCATTTTCCCTGGCAGAGGTACTGCAGGCCAGTCCTTTGCTGTTTCCAGGGTGACCCTGTGGGCCACATCTAAGCACCCCATGGGCCAGATCCGGCCATACCCCTACTCTACACAGATTACAACAGTGGTGGGTTCCTACCAGTTTGGACCGATTCGGCAAAACCGGTAGTGGTATGGGAGCCTAGGTCACTGGAACCAACACTGACCCAAGCCTGCCACGCCCCTGAACCAGTTCCCCAATCTCTTGTGCCATCGCCGGCATGTTTCTGCACATGCACAGAATAGTTTTCAGTCAACTGTGCATATGCAGCAATGTGCAGTGGGTGTGAGTGACACAATCAGTGCGCGCACACAACATCCTCTCAGCGAACCAGTAATAAACCGGTTAGGAACTCACCACTCAATTAGATCATAGTTCCACATCCACAGCTTAATCTGAATGTTAGTCAAATACTTGAAGAAACTATGTTTAAAACCAGGAATGATGATTGCCTTATCAGAGGAATTAGATAGTTTTGTGCTTCCTTGGAGGATTGAGAAGGATCTAACAGATAAGAAATTATATCATATGACCACCAGGTTTCTGTACTATAATGACTTACCAAGACAATTGTGTCCATCTTCAGCCAACATGAAGCCATCATAACACATACACCTGTAGTTCCCTGGAATATTGATGCATTCATGTACACAGCCGCCATTGTAGAAGTCATTTTCACATTCATCAATGTCTGAAAAAAAGAAAAAAAGAAGGAAAAATAGCCTAGTGCCAGGCATACAATACCAAATTTAACAGAAATCACTGTTGATGAATATTGTAAAATTAATGCTAAAATAGTTGTATAACGTTTTATGTTTCATTCTGTATTTTGATATGGCCAGGGTCTAATCAACAATAAAGGCAATTAATGGTAAAATGCTATAATTTCCATTTATAAGGATACATAAAAGTTCATTTCTTAATCTAGCCAGAAATGCCATTATTGGATGGGGTCTCAATAAATTCCTGTTTTGTATTCAAGATCTTGCATATTTTGTAATACTCCCACTGAGCTGTCTGAAGGGTACAGACATGATCAATAAAAAAACCAGGGGCACATCGATGGCCTCAGCATTCTGCCAGTGAAAACAGAGCTCCGATTTCACTGGCAGAGGGTTGTAGGAGGCTGGCATGGCTGAAAATGGAGCTTGGGTAGGCCACATACAGCCCTCCTAAGCTCCGTTTTCGCTGGTAGAGGCACCAGGGACCAGTCCTTCACTGTTTCCAGGGTGGCCCTTGGGCGAGATCTAAGCACCCTTGGGCCCGATCCAGCCCACAGGCTTGGGTTTGACACTCCTGCAATAGAGGCTTTCTCCCAGTGAAGCAAAGTAGCTGTGAAGGGTTCTCTCATGCAGAGATAGCCCGAAAAGATTTCAAACTTATGGAAAACATGGCTGCTTTCATGGTTAAGAGAAATAGGCCCCTTAAAGGCTCTCACACATTGCAAGGCCCTTCTTTCAGAGGGTTTCCACAGCTATAATAAAGGACACACAGTCCTAAACATTTTCCCCAAACTCCTTGTGAAACTCATTCCCAACACAGACTCCTCTGTCTTCGTCACAAAGTGCAAATCTGCAGTGAAAGCAGAGGTGGTATTCAGCAGGTTCTGACCAGTTCTAGAGAACCGGTAGCAGAAATTTTGAGTAGTTCAGAGAACCGGTAAATATCACCTCTGACTGNAGAACAATTAATCAGTGGAACAACTTGCCTCCAGAAGTTGTGAATGCCCCAACACTGGAAGTTTTAGAGAAGATGTTGGATAGCCATTTGTCTAAAATGGTATAAGGTTTTCTGCCTAGGCAGGGGGTTGGACTAGAAGACCTTCAACGTCCCTTCCAACTCTGCTATTGTATTATTGTATTATTGAATATAGCTGTGGAGAGTGCATTATGTGGAACCTCTACTTCATTCCAGTTAATTCTTAGACAGAGAATTGCAGGGGAATTCAAAGGCTTAGCCTAGGTTAAGAAGTCAAAAGCACATCTTGGAAGAAGGCAATGGAAACCATTTGTGTACTGTTCACAAGAAAATGACATGAGTGTGTCAACAGATTTTGGATTCACTGTCTACCTCAGCTTGGGGTAACAGCCAGCTGACCTTGGGCGATGTCCAAAAATTAAACAGGGTTGTCCCAGGTTAGTACTTAGATGTGGGATTCCCTGGGGATTCCAAGATTATTGGCTAGACAGGAAACTTAAAAAACAACAATGAAACAGAGCACTTCCATTTCACTGCCAAGAAAAACGCATGAATGCAACCACTTGGAATTAAATTTGTTTTGATAGCATCTTGATGAACCTTTGAGGGCACCATGAATAAGTTAAGAGACTCATGTTTATGAGAAGGATGGCTATATACATTTGATAAACAAAACAAATAAAGCTTTAGTGAGACTATATCCAAGCCAGGGATAGGATGGGGTAGGATAGGATACGATAGGATAGGATGGTTGGAAGGAATCTTGGAGGTCAAGCAGGAGACTCTATACCATTTCAGACAGAAGGTTGTCCAATCTCTTCTTAAAAACCTTCAGTGATGGAGCGCCTACAATTTATATAGGCAAGTCATTCCACTTGTTAATTGTTCGGTCATGAAATTTCTCCTTATTTCTAGGTTGGTTTCTCCTTAATTAGTTTTCATCTATTGCTCCTTGTCCTGCCTTCAGGTGATTTGAAGAATAGGTTGACCCCCTCGTCATTGTGGTTGACCCTTAAATATTGGAGCACTGCTTTCATATCACCCCTAGTCCTTTTTTTCATTAGATTAGACATACTCAGTTCCTGCAATTGTTTTGTTTTAGCCTCTAGTCCCCTAATCATCTTGGTTGCTCCTCTCTGCACTCTTTCTAGAGTCTCAGCATCTTTTTTTATATTGTGGCAACCAAAACTGGATGCAATATTACAAATGTAATCTTCCCAAGGCATTATAAAGTGGTGCTAACACTTCATATGATCTTGATTCTGTCCCTCTGTTAATGCAGCCTAGCACTGTGTGGACTTTTTTGGCAGCTGAAGCACTTTGCTAGCTTATATTTAAGTAGTTGTCCAACAGAAATCCAAGATCCCTCTCACTGCTGCTGAGCCTGGTACCACCTCTTCTATACCTTTATTGATCATCAATGACAGATTGGTGTTTTAATGTTTTGCAAAAGCAACCATAAAATCGCTTACAATAGAAACAAAATACATATAGGAATACAT